AGAAAACAGAGCCTCAAGTCTCCGCAGACATGTGCTGCAGAACCTATACATCTTGGTTTAGAAATGACCCTTCCCTCCCGGCACCCCTGCCTCCCTCCTTCAGGGCTGTGGCAATGAGCGGCTCCCCACGCCCTTCCTGCAAGCAATGGTCTCCTGTGAGGGAAGGCTCTCCTATACTGGGATCTGGTTCTAAATAAACCTAGGGAAATCTCCTTTGAGCATCTTCGGAAAAAAAAAAAAAAAAGGACAGTTACCAGGAGAGAAAGCGGGGGTGGGGAGTTGGATGAATTGGGAGATTGGGTTTGACCTGTATACACACTATATAGAAAACAGATAACTAATAAGGACCTACTGTGGACCACAGGAACCTCTTCTCAACACTCTGTAATGACCTATATGGGAAAAGAATACAAAAAACAGTGGATATATGTATAACTAATTCACTATGCCATACAGCAGAAACTAACAAGGCACAGAAAATCAACTATACTCCAATAATTTTTTTTTTAAGTTAAAAAAAGACCACTTCTTACCTTGAGGTAATTTAAGTAGAGCCAAGGAAATGGAGACTTTTACTGGTTTCATCAAGTCATACTTGCACTTGGTAATTAGAAAAACAATTCAGTGTCCTGTTCATCAGTGTTTTAATTTAGCATTCTATAAACTTGGCTCCTGAAATCTCTCTCCTGCTCTCAACACTCCTACTTGTCTGACACCTTTTTTTCTCCTTGGCTTCTCATTTTCTCGATGTGACTACAGTATATTCCATCTTGTAGAAACTCCTGTTTGATTATGCAGACCAAAAAACTATAGCATAACTCATTCCAAAATTCTTTCTTTTGGTAACCTTAGGTTTATTAATGAAAAATTTCCATTCTTCTTCACCTCCCAATTCTTGTCTGCAATATTTAATGCCCTTCTATGTTTAAAGAGCTTTTAAATCATATAATGGCTGTTGAGGGTAGTTTGTGATGTACTGCTGATGCTTCTACTTATCATTGCTCTTATTGTGCACCTACTATGTGCAATGTGGAGAAGGAGGTGGCAACCTACTCCAGTATTCTTGCCTGGGGAGTCCCATGGACAGAGGAGTCTGGTGGACTACAGTCCATGGGGTCATGGAGAGTTGGACATGACTGAAGCGACTTAGCAGCACTACATGCAATGACATTCCAAGTTGCTTTGGAGGTAAAGAAATCTCTCTGTTTTAAAACAGAGAGATCTGTACTGTTGGGTGACTCATATGAATTCATACATTAGGTGACTCAATATAGTAAGTGTCTGAGGGTTAAATTTATGATGTGAATTCTGTACCTTGCCTTGGCATCATTTCAATGTTCGGCCATCAGCAAAATAGGTGGATTTCTCTGTTTCTGTAGTTATCTTAAAATGAGAGTTATGAATGGAATAAGAAAATGCAGATTACATCTCCTTTCAACAAATAAACATTAAGAGAACATCTATGTGTAACAAAACTTTCATGTTCCAGCAGATAGTCTATTTATTACAAATTTCCACTTAATTTTTTTACTATAACAAAGAAATAGGATGTTTGTTGTGGTTTCCTAGAATCTGGAAATTTGAAATATTCTTTGTTTGGTTGAACGTAGCTGTCTGGGACTGACTGGAAGTGGGGAACCTAGCAGACAAACAACATTACTCTCTGGGTCTTTTCACCTCAGACTTTGTAAAGAACTTCTAAGTACATTTGAAATTATACTGACATTGTAGCTAAAACCCCATCATCTCTAATTCCCAACCATATTGGAGTTGCCATTTTTTAGGTAAAAGAGTCGTATATAGGCAGTTTCATATGGCTCAGTCTAGTTACCTTTCAAACATGTGGGGCAACTCTTTTGCAAAGGATTCCTTTGCACCAAAGTTTCCTTTCCACAGGAAAGGAAAATTGACTGTTGATGTGCTTATCTTAAATTTTGAATTCATAAATCAAAAATAATTTCTTAGTAATGAATCTGAGTCAGGACACATGGTTCTTTGTTGTCACAGATGTTGGTGGATCAGTGATGCCTTGATCAGAAAGGACTCCTTCTCTTCAAGGCAACAAGGTAAAAATGATCCCAGAGACCAGCTTTTATCTTTAGCCATGTTCACTAGTTTGACAAACTCAAAGTTGTTATGTGACTGATTTTCCATTGTTAGCTCACTCACAATGGAATGGCAATTGGGGTTTTGGATTATTTTTTCTTGTGGACATTACAGAGACAACTCAACCTTCTCCTAGCTGCTGTCAGACCTTTTTTTCTCTTTTCTTTTCTAAAGAGTTATAACTGTGACTTTGGTGTGTTGGGAAAGATATTCTGTGTTCAGCACTATCGCCAAGTCTCTCAGAATGCCTTTCCTGGAAGTCTGGGAATCCTATGGAGAGCTACGTAACAGAGAACTCGGTGGACACCATCATTGTTCCTTATGGTTACAAGTTGGGAGCTGTGGGCCCAGGCCGGATTCTGGCTTCCTGAAAAGTGGAGGGTTTCTCAGGCAACATCTGACAGAGGGTGTTCTCAGTGTTTCAGGAAGGAACACCTGTGGCTGGGGTTCATCCCTTCTGGGCCTAATCACTTCTGCCATGAATTTTGGGATCTCTCCTTTGGCTGGGTGTGTCTTTCAGAGACTGATGGATATTCAAATAGAATACGGTCATGCATCATAAGAGTTTTTATTTTTATTTATGATGTATTTTCTTTTACTTTTTTTTTTTTTTTTTTTTACTGTTTTTGGTGTTGAGTGTCAGTCAACACTCTCTCTACCCTGGTTGCACACCTGCTCTAGAAAAACTGTAAACAGCATTGTACTTTCCTGTAGAACCCACCTGTCAAAGCTGGTTGTTCTCATCCAGGTAATTAGTTTCTCAGTTTAGACTTGACACAAATGAGAACGTTACTTTAGCATAATATAATAAATAAAAGACATTAGGTAATTAGTAGTGCTGGTATATTTCTAAAATACTAAACAGACAAACAATAAACTGTGAACTTAATCACATGAGTTCTTATACAGTTTCAAGACAGGAAAATTAGAGCTCTCAGCTACAGTCATTTTAATAATCACATTGGATCTGCATTATTTATTAGTTATTACATGCTCAACTGATTCAAGGTTGTACAATGCCTAAAATCATTTCAAAGCAAGCATACCTTTTGTCTTTTGAATTCTGACTGGATTACATAATGCATATATTTATATTTAGTTAAATTGCTAAGTTTATTTCACACTCCATGAAAAAGACATCAGCCATTCTCTTGATTTCCAACCGGACTGGTTTTCTTGATATAACTCTGTAAGGGCGTAATTTGCTCTTTCTGATGTAAAAGCTATGCCAGCCTTCAGCCAGATTCTCAATGCTTTTGGTTCTTTAGCAAATCCCTAGTACCCTCTGAGTACCCTCAGAATTCTCTTGGAAGACCCAGGAGTTCTGGAAAGAGAGTAGCTTGTGGAGGCACAAATGGCAACAAGATCCTCAGTTTCTATCAAATTTCAAACTGGGAATGCGTCCCCTTTTTCCTGTCTGGTTACTCACCTTTCATTTTTAGATATTCTGGACAGTGTGCCTTCCCTTTCCTCCTGTCCCCAGTTTAATTCCTAAATGTTTTCTGAATTTTGTGAAAAGCATGCAGCTTGAGGAATTTGACTGATTTGACTTTAATTATTTTTTGGGAGGGGCAGGGGGAGGAAGTTTACAGAAATGACTAAAACCAGCTGAGAACCAAGAAGCCACCTTTTCCTCTCAGGTAGGGAGCTCATCTATTCAGTCTTGGAGCCTGCGTGACTTTTAGGGCAATCTTCTGTTCTATTGTATGAAGAAAGAAATTCTTAAATATCACAGTTTTTCATTTGCGTCAACCAAAGAAATATAGAAATAGAGGCTGGTTACTTAAATTTGCTGCTAAAATGAAAAGTAGGTTTGGCTTTATTCACTGTAAAAACTAAATAATAAAGTATTCACACCAAGCGTGAATTTTTTTTTTTGCCAGCAAAAGTTAAAACATCAAAGAAACCTCTTTCAAATACTAACAAATTTACTTACAAACACCTATATTTATTATTTCATAAATAGGCGCAACAGTTTCCATAAAAAAAGATTAAATACAGACACATATGAAGAAACAATAATACAGAGCCCTATGTAAAGGTTATAATTTAGCTGTTTTCAATTTCTTTCTGCATCTAATAAAATACCAGGTAAGCATTTGGCAGTTTTATACATAAAAGGGCTTAAATGACATTAACTAACCATTACACAAAAAGTGATACAAAAAAGCAATTTTTCTGCAGTACAAAATAAACGGTGTTTGCGCTTCCCCTCACACTAGTTTCTTTTTGTCTGATCAATGAGACAAAGCCAATTTGTTTTTAAATTAAAATCATTTGGGAGTACGTTTTTTCCAAATATTTTGAAAATATAGAACTATTAGTTGTTTTAAAAATGAAGTAAAAATATGAATGTTTGCCAATTTAACCCCTATTGTGAAATCAATAAACTGGAATGAGCCAGTTTCAAATCACAATTTAGCTACAAAAACATTCACATTTTATACTCTAGGAGAGTGTGACATAGATGCTATTTACAAACTTGCTATGACTGCTACATCAAGCCATTTAAAAAGTCTTTAGTAGTTTCATATAAACACCCATTATGAAAACCAATGGAAAATCCAGGACTTTTATCCAAGACATCTATAGTTGCTAAGGCAGTTACTATAGCGCAGCACTTCACAGCAAAAAACCAACATAAAATCTGAATGGTCCAAAGTTCCTTCAGGGAAGAAGAAAAACAATGTCCATAAAGGATTAAAAAAATAATAAAGATAAAGAAGCATGACTATTTCTTCCAGAGTGGGTGACCCACAAGCTCAAATGGTCCTAAGTGCTTAGCAACTTGTATTTTTTCTAATAAAATGGAGAACTGCCTTGACTGTACAAAGCAATCCATGGTGAAAAGACTTCCCTGAATGCCTCAGTGGAAAGAAGAGGTGTCTGGAGTTTCAGGTAAGGTACAGTGCTTTGTCCCTCTGCATGCCCCTGTGTGGAGAAAAAATAGACAAGCAACCGGTGTTAACAGGACAGCCTTACTATGGGTGACCAAGCAGGATGTGTTTGTCTGCTCTAGCTTGAGGGGTGGGGTTGGGCATGGGGAAAGTGCACAGTGAAAGCCAAGAGGATTTAAAGGCATTTACTCTTGGAACGGTTAAAAATTTCTGGTTTTGAGAACATGGAACCATTCCAGATTATCTTTTGGAAAGCTGGAAGAAATAAAGGATCGTTCCATGACATGCCTGTTATGAGAGTTGTCTGCCACCAGGTGGCGATGGCCGGCCGCTTACCCACTACTGCAGTAGTCATTATTCCAGTCCACCGGCTGGGTGGGAGGATTTCTGCACCCGGAGCGCACATACTCCATGGCCTGGGTGACCACTTGTGCAGCTGTAGATGTAGGATTGATTATGGCCTGATAGTCTGGTTGAAGATTAAATCCCTGAAAAGAAAAGCAAGTCCACAAATAAGGATCAAAGTGCCTTGTTAAGAAGAAAAGCACCTAAATATTTAGCCACTGTTTGCAAACACTACTGCCTTCTTGCTTGTGCCCCTGCAAGGGCAAGCTAATCCCAAGAACCATGAAAACTTAAAACAAAGATGGAAAAGAAGTGCCCACACTCCATCTTTCTCACCTTTCCTTCCTTTAGCCATGTGTTACTTGACTTGTACTCTTGAGCAGATACATTGAATTGAGAAACAATGTAAAATTTAGAAAAGCCAACTCAACCAAAACAAAGGGAAAAGGCCCTAAACCACTCAGAGTTTATGTTTTCTGTCTAACCTAAGGATACATTAATAGTTAATCCCCAGAATATGCAACAGAATCTTTTCTGAAGGATTCAGGCAGCAGGTGGCTGAGTGTTTTATTAGACTACACCTATTCACATATTGTTCTCAAAACCCTTTTTCTTCATTCAATCACAAAGGGACCATCTGCTTCTTCTTTTATTTGTACTTCTTTCTCAGCTAAAAATTTCAACCAAAGCTTTTAAACAGTTGTTGGGCTAATACAGGGAAGGAGATTCAAAACAACTTGCCACTGGAAAACACAGAGGAGGAAAAGTATAAGACAGAGCAAATATTTTTTAATTGAAAAGTCTATTAACTGGCAAATAATAATCAGACTTCAGGAAGGTTCTTTTAACACACTGGTGTGGTGAAGTGTTGACTTTTAATCCTTGCAGAGCTATTAAAAATTCAAGGACAGAATCTCTGAAGTAGATAGCTGTATCTGGTAAACAAAAAGCATTATACGCTAAGAGTTATTTTTAGCTTATCTGGTGAACTCAAGGGCTGCATAAGCAAGCTTTGCTGGAAATGACCAAAAAAAGCAACTTAATTAATCTCATGGTTGTCTCTTTTTGCAGCAGATTTCATACATGGTTTTTACCCACTGAAAAACCAAGAGATTTAAAAACAAATCATTTTCCATTTATTTGCAGGGAGCTTCTTTTGAAAGAATAATATTGTTGAGATTTTATCTTTTTAAAAAATTCAGCATAATGATCAGAGAATTGATTTTAAACTAAGGCTATTTCCTTAGACTTTTATTCATTTGCAGGTACCCTGGGTAAAGACTCAAAGACATCTATTATCAAATGTCCTCAATTCTCAGTATTGGCTTTAAGGTATTAAATTATTTTCTATTCAAGGGATAAAGACTTCAAGCCAATGTCCAGGCAAACTCCCAACAAAGGTGCTCATGAAAGACAGAGTGCTGAATGACTGGAAACAAATCACTGAAAAGTAGAGTATTCAGTCAGCTTGGTTATTTGACCTCACACAGACTAGAAAGAGTAGTGTTTCCTAAACCAACAACTGGTTTGTGAGAGGGAAGTTTGTTTATGTAGATACCACCTGCAGCTCCAGCCATAAACATTTTCCAAAGCAGGGGTGTGTGAGAAGCGAGAGGAATATAACTGGATGTTTGGTACTCCAGCCCTTTCCAGGCTGACGTCCACTCTTTCTCCAGACCATCTTGAGTCTGGTCCTTTAATGTCTTAATGGGGCTTACTGTCCAGTTTTCTGGATCTCTTTCCCAAGTGTCTTGTGTAATGTTAGGCACACAAGCAGGAAAAGGCCCCCAGGGAGAGGAACCTCAGGCTGATTTTTATTTCAGCCCCCTCATCAGGGCTGCCCAGTGACCAGAGAGTGTGTTGCTTACTGGATATTCTCAGGGTCAAGCCCATAGTAGTGGCTCAATAAATCATGTTTTCCAATAAATGAATTTTAACATCAACAATTTGATGCTACTCTTCAAAAGGCCTGGCGAATATAACTGTGTAAATACCAAGGCTTTCCTATCTTTTTAATGTAAAGTTCTCCATATTGGATTTTTGCACAGTCAACGAAACATAACTTAAAAGTAAATAAGTATGAAAACTAGAGTAGTTGAAAATATTTCATGTTAGGTGAAGGTATGGAAACATATGAGAAAGCAAAAAATAAATAAAAACAATCCAACCTGCTTCTATCCAACACCACACAATCAAAGAACAGAAATGACCATTGCTTTTTTTCTATCCAATGAACATGGCCCCTCAAAGATGGGAAAGAGAATATCAGGAGAACATTAATTTTTAAGTGATTGGTTTAAGATTAAATGGGTAGCTTCAGTTTATAAAACCAAAATGATGTGTTATCTACAAAGCTCAAAGATTTAAAATTTAGCTGACTTCAATGCCTAAATTTAAGATCACTAGTATTAAAACAAACATGGACCAAGGAAAAGACAAACAAAGCCTGAAGAACATAATTTTACTTGCTTTCAATTTAGAAAATGAAACTTTTTTCTGATGACTGTATTAAGAGATGCTAAGGTCAAACCCAGAAATAAGGGTATTTTTATTATTGTTGTAAGTATGAAACAACAATGATGATAGAAAGTTTTGAAAAAATGTTTGCTTAATGATCTAATTAAACAAGACTGAATATTTTGCATTTTAATGCTCAAGAGAAAAATCACCAACTGTTTTGTAGCATGCCTGGAATTTTAAATTTCATTTTCTGGTGCCAGATTGAAATAAAAATAGGAAACATGATAAAGATTAATTTGATGTCAGAAGGGACATTTGCTCTTTAATTAGATTTCTGTAGCCCTAGCAGTTTTGTTGTGCCACCATATCAAGTCCTAAAAAAGCCTGCAGCAATACCAAACGGTGATCCTCGTATCCACACTTTACTGGGAACTAATTTCATTTCCTGCCTGTCTGGAGAGGTGTTTTCAACAGGCATCAGTGTTTTTGTCTTCACAACTGATTTATTCATCAATCTCAATGTGATTTTTTTAAACCTTTAAATTACACCCAAATCCTAAAGCAGCTGTTTATTACACAAGGAAATTGAAAATCTGTCTGTGTGATATCATACAAAGATTTTTTTTCTTAAGGTTATAAAGGAAGTTGACAGATATTAATGATTTTTTTCTCTTGACCTCATTCGACAATATAGTGAACAGGAAAAAAGGAAGAAAACTGGACTGAAAAATAAACCCTAGGTCTATGGGTTTAGTGTATAAAATATTATTCTATAAAAAATAAAACTATTACTCCTAGTGGATGATATGATCATTTTTAGGATACATTCATTTTCAAAAGGATAATAAAATAACTAAAGTAATGCTGAAATATGAAACATGACTGTAAAAATACAGTAGCCATGAACTTTCTTGCTCTTTCTTTCTCTTTTTCTTTTTTGGTGTTTGAAAATGGGAACATGGCCAGGAAGCAAACACCTTCTCGATAAAGATGATGAATCCAACAGGTCTAATTCCAGCCATCAGCTTTCTACAACCCACTTTGATGACATGAACATTGGCCCCACAGAACACTCTGATTGTAATAAACTGAGTGACATGGAGGCATGACCGACACTCTGAATCTGATTTTAGGATTATCAATTCGTTGAGACTTCCAGTCTTCTTAACCTGCAGGATTCTCTCCAGTGATCTACCCTGACTCTGACCTCATTGCCCGTCACTCTCCATTCCTCACCATGCTCCCCACTGGCCTCCTTTCAATGTCCTGGATAAGCCATGTTCCTCCCAATTGGCCCTCCAGGCCGGAGTCCCTTCTCCTTGCTATGGTCCCTGCTAGTATCCATCCCACCCTCTTCCCACCCTCTGATTCCGAGAGGCTGCCTCTTCTTCTCTGCCTGCTCTTGAGAGATACCTTCTTTATCCGTCCCAGCCAAAGGACTGTTATTCCTCCACACATCCTGTAGTTTGTCCCCCTGTTTAATTTTTCCCATGGGATCCTAATAACTTACCTGTTTCTCTTATTCCCACGGCTCCCCTTCTCCATTCCACCCCCAACTCTGATGTGAGCTTCATAGGGGTAGAAGCTGCTCAATTTCAGACAGCGCCTGGCATGTGTTAAGGGGTTCAATGAATCTTTTTTGAATAAATGAAAAAATTTTAAACTTTTAAGGATTTGAGATTCTACAAACTAGCCTGTAATTTCTTCTAATATGTAAGCTTCTGCAGCTCATTTTTTTTATTCCTTCATTTGTTAACTTGTCCCTTCAGCAGGTATTTTATTGACTATCTACAATGATCAAGGCATCATAGTGATTTTAGTTACCATGGTCTCTGCAGCTGCACTGACTCTCCATTTTGGGTTCTTGCCATTTTGTCTTCTATTATTAATGTAAGTTAAAATCAAGTCCTATCATCTCAATAAGAAAACTTTCTGAGATACACTAATAGAACTCTCTTAAATATTGATAAGTAACGTGTCCAATGTAATCTGCCCTATTTTTCCCTATTAAGATTCTATGTGGAAAGACACATCTCCTGAGTTTCCAAATGTGGCCCTATATAATTCAGAAATGTTTGAAAACTATTCAGGGTCATATCTAGCTCATCTAAGGTATAGAGTATAAACAGACAATGAACTGTCTCTGAGTGGATAAATTAATAAAAAGTGTTCTCTCTTCATAGAGCTCTGGCCCCCAACCTGGGGAGTGGACCACATCTTCTGTATTTTTTCCTCTGAGAAGAAACACCCCTCACTCCAGCACTGAGAGCAAAACACGGGCCCTCAACTGGGTAAGCTGAGGCACCCTCAGGCAGAAGTCAGCCCACCCCGCTGAAGGCCTCTCAGCTCTTCACCCACACACTGCTGGTTCATTAAAATGCAAGGAACTCACGAATGTCCCTTTTATCAAGAGTAATGTCTGATGGAAAGAAGGACCCTATTAATGTCACTCACTGGTCACAAACCTGCCGTAGACAAGGAGGTCAGTCTTTCCCAGTGAGTCTACAGCTCGTTTGTTGAACAGATAATTCAGTCATCTGAGCTTTATCAATATCCTTGGCTTGGGGACCAAACAAGACTTCGGTAGAGAGATGAGTCCTTTGCTCTCCATGATCATTTAATCTCAGAACTAACTAGGATTTACAGAGCCTCCCAAGTCTTAGGAGAAACTGTTAAGAATTGACAAGAACAAGTAAGAGTGAGAAGCAGTAGGCCTAGCATTTAAGTATCAAGGGAGGGGATATATGTATACCTATGGCTGATTCATGTTGAGGTTTGACAGAAAACAACAAAATTCTGTAAAGCAATTTTCCTTCAATTAAAAAAAAGAATCTAGGATCTGACTACTGAACAGGGCTAGGTTTGAATTCCAGCTCTGACCTATGGGCAAGTTAGTCAACTCTGCTGAGCTCTGTCCTCTCACCTGTGAGATGAAGGCAAGGTCAGGACCTGCACTGTGAATTTTCTGAAATTAAAGAGGAGGTAAGGTAATGTATTAAGGTTTGTAATTGTTACCATTTGGAAATCCTGTCTATAATAACAATAATAAAAATGGATTTAGGACTATGTATATCTGATTCCTATTTCTGCCTCCCCTCCACCCCACTGTGGCCAACTACAGACTATAACAGAGGGCTCCTATATCACTCTTATAGGAAGACTTTGCATATTTAATTATAGACCTGGGAACAACAGTCATTGGATTATGAAAGTGATAGGTTAATTTGATATGATTTATAGTTTCTACCTTGACCTGTTTTTTTAAAACACATTTTTAGGCTTTTTAAATGCTTCGTATTCAGCTTACTTTACATCATTTGCTCCTAATTCTCAAATTTTAAAATAACCCTAAAATCCAGAAGGAAAACGATTTCAAAGACAAGTTAAGCTAAGATTGCACACAAATAGTTTCCATCTTGCAGGATTTGTTGGATTCAACAGGTGTATCATCAAGAATTTCTCATTTCTGAATAATATACTGATTATATATGCATATGTTTATATATGTGTGTGTGTGTATATGTATGTGTGTATATATGGCAGACTTCTTAACCCCAAAGAGATCTTTAGCAGTAGCAGCATCTGAAAACAACAAATGCGCCTCCCTCAAAGGCAGAAAACAGGGAGAGTGACAAGAAAGATGGGTACCATGGGAAAGAAGTCAGGGATTATGAAAGGCAGAAGCTGTTGTGATCCTGCGAGGCTGCCTGACTCACCCCTGCAAGTTAATTTTCAGAAAGCAGGTATTTGCTGAAGATCTCCCATTCTCTCTCCACTTACAGAGAAGAATGGAACCCCCACCCAATCCACCGGAGGAACAGATGCCCCAGCACCTCTGAAGGGGAGCCCAGGGCCCAGCCTGCACATACCTGCTGCATGGTGGGGGAGTGTAAGGCGGGCTGGACCTGCATGGGGAGCTGGGTCCCCAGGGGCTGCTGCATGGAGAGCGGCTGGTGCTGCTGCAGGTTGAGATGCTGGTGAAGAGGGGGGCTGATCTGGAGGGGAGGAGGGGGGGACACAGCCATGTTGGCTATAGAGACAGTCACTGGCATTTGGTTGTTGGCCTTGGGTGCTATGCTCCTGGGGAGACTGGGATGCATGGCGGTTAGGTGAGGGTTCATTCCTGGTTGTTGGTGGTAGTGGGAACTTAGGTACAGAGCTGAGTGGGCCTGGCTGGGCCCGGGGAACACAGACGGCGGCTTGGCATTGATCAGCTGCGGAGGCTGAGCCGACTTCACGTCAACAGGCTCGCTGTAGCTCTGTGGAGAAACAAACAGGAACTGAGTTAAGAGGCGGACACCCAGGGCTGCTTTTTCTTAGCAAGATGCTCTGTGAGTTCACTCGTGAACAGTCACATGGATCAACACCTGTTACTACTCTTGACTCCAAGAACTCCTCTGTCATCACTTGCCACATGACCTGATGAAGCCTGAGCTCATTCCACCTCTTTTATGAAATCTAAAACAATGTATGTTGACATTTCTTCTTTGCTTAAATGTTAAGCTCTAATTTGGTGCCTTTTCTCATCATCCAAAGATGAAAAGATGAGGGGTGCGTGTGGTGGATGAAGTCAAGAGTCCTACCAGGAACTACCAGTGTGGCTCACTTGGAAAGGAAGTCAGTGAGGGAGTTTTTCTGTTGACTATATGCTTCGCTTTTTATTTTTCCTTTTTATATTCTCAAAGACCTTGACATTAGATATTGCACAAAGAAAACAAAGTTGGTTGATGGAACTGGATAAGGAAGAAAGAGTTCAAAAATGCCTTTCTGAAGTCATATAAAACCACATTAATATATCTTCAAAGTAACCGTAGAACTCATCTTGATTTTTTAAAAGAGTTGGTGATGAACTGTCCTCAATAATGAACTGGATAAAAATAATCTCTCTTAGAAATTTTAGACTCCATCATAAATTAATACAATTTTTCCTGAATTTTTTACACACATTCAAATGGTCATTTCCTAATAATCTTTTTAATTGACTTAAAATCTAGATATTTCAGTGGAAGCTGAAAAGTATCAAGAATGAACCCCAAGGTGTTTCTTCTCGGGCATGAACCTGCCTCCTACTTTTGCTGAGAGGAAACAAACATTTGTTTGTTGTTGTTTGCAAAACAAATGGTAAAAAGTAAAACCAGGTGGAGAAAGAAGATGCCAAAATCTCCTTCTGGAGAAAAAAGTCACTTGGTCAAAACCAGGTCCTGAGGGTGCATCTGTGCCCTTATTCAGTGCCTCTGATGTCATGCTTCTTCCATCAATAAGTCAACACAAGCCTCTCGCTACCCAGCACAGCAGGGCCTTCCGGGACTTCCCCTGCTCAGTCTCCTTGCAGCTCGGGCACTTTTAGGAGCCTGGTTCATTACATACGGTGACAGGAAACTCCATGTAGGGACTTCATTGCACAAGTCAGCCAGCAACACAACTCGCTTCCTCCCCACAGTGTAGGGGATTGAGTGAGAGCCACAGGAAGAAGGGTTATGCGTGTGTGCTGACTGCAGGAGGCCAGGCTGGGGTGCTGGACTGGTGGGCTCACATATTCTCTGCATAGGAATGACCTGAATGACATCTCTAAAAGTACATCAGCCATGGAGATGTGGGGTCCTGCGAGACCCTGATTACTCCATGCAGAGTAGATAGTAAGGTGAGCCCTAAAGAACTCAAGCTCCTCCAAAGAACCTTCTCAGTATATTTTTCTGTGTTAGTAGTGATGCAGTTTTCTGAAACAGGAGTAGACATTGACTCCCTGTCTTCTGCATTAACATGAAACAGGTCAAAAATTGTTCACAAAAATTTTCAAGGGAAGGCTTTGGATCAAGAGTTTAACTAAATGTAGTACCTAAAAGGAACTTTCAACTGATAAAAAAAACTTGAGTCTTTTTTTTTTTTTTTTGCTTCCATTTAAAAATTCTCATTGCTGGAATGCAGAGCAGTGAACAATTAAAGGAGAAGGTCAAACGAGTTAACTCAGGCTGTGTAAACAGTGACTTGTTTTACATCAGAATAACATAGACTGCAGTGATATGCCTCAAAAATCATCCCACATATGCCAAGAAGATTATGTACTTGTTGCCTGTGTGTTTAAGTCATGTGGGAAAGTGTTTTCATTGTGTTGCATTCTCACTTCTTTTCCCAGTTGTGGAAGGGCTAATTTCATATTTAGTCACACACCGTGCCAATTTCATACAGGAAAGGAACAATCACACAACGACCAAGAGAGCTACAAAAATCAATACATGTTAGTGCATCTTCCTTTTTGTTTTATAGTTGCTTAAACTTTTTAAACAGAAGAAAAACCACTCACAATTCCTATACTATCAAAATTACAAAATAGATGTCGTTTTAAAACGTTTTCACTTTTTATTTCTGGAGCCAATAATCACATCATTATCTAGTGACATGGTGTACACAGAGCAGTAGATAGGTATCCTGAGTGTGTGTGTGCATGTGTGTGTGTGTGAAGACAAAAAGACATGTTCAGATATGTTCATACATTCATCTCAGGCATTCCAACAATATTTAAACAAGCCTAAAATACGTGAACTGTGAACTTCTAGATGTTCAAGCTGGTTTTAGAAAAGGCAGAGGAACCAGAGATCAAATTGCCAACATCCGCTGAATCATCGGAAAAGCAAGAGAGTTCCAAAAAAACACCTATTTCTGCTTTATTGACTACACCAAAGCCTTTGACTGTGTGGATCACAATAAACTGTGGAAAATTCTGAAAGAGATGGGAATACCAGACCACCTGACCTGCCTCTTGAGAAACCTGTATGCAGGTCAGGAAGCAACAGTTAGAACTGGACATGGAACAACAGACTGGTTCCCAATAGGAAAAGGAGTACGTCAAGGCTGTATATTGTCACCCTGCTTATTTAACTTCTATGCAGAGTACATCATGAGAAACGCTGGACTGGATGAAGCACAAGCTGGAATCAAGATTGCCGGGAGAAACATCAATAACCTCAGATATGCAGATGACACCACCCTTATGGCAGAAAGTGAAGAGGAACTAAAAAGCCTCTTGATGAAAGTGAAAGAGGAGAGTGGAAAAGTTGGCTTAAAGCTCAACATTCAGAAAACTAAGATCATGGCATCTGGTCCCATCATTTCATAGGAAATAGATGGGGGAACAGTGGAAACAGTGGCTGATTTTATTTTGGGGGGGCTCCAAAATCACTGCAGATGGTGACTGCAGCCATGAAATTAAAAGACGCTTGCTCCTTGGAAGAAAAGTTATGACCAACCTAGACAGCATATTAAAAAGTAGAAACACTACTTTGCCAACAAAGGTCCATCTAGTCAAAGCTATGGTTTTCCAGTAGTCACATATGGATGTGAGAGTTGGACTGTGAAGAAAGGTGAGTGCTGAAAAATTGATGCTTTTGAACTGTGGTGTTGGAGAAGACTCTTGAGAGTCCCTTCAACTGCAAGGAGATCTAACCAGTCCATCCTAAAGGAGATCAGCCCTGGGTGTTCATTGGAAGGACTGATGCTGAAGCTGAAACTCCAGTACTTTGGCCACTTCATGCGAAGAGTTGACTCACTGGAAAAGACCCTGATGCTGGGAGGGATTGGGGGCAGGAGGAGAAGGGGACGACAGAGGATGAGATGGTTAGATGGCATCACCGACCTGATGGACATGGGTTTGAGTAAACTCCGGGAGTTGGTGATGGACAGGGAGGCCTGGCGTGCTGTGATTCATGGGGTTGCAAAGAGTCAGACATGACTGAGCAACTAAACTGAACTGAACTGAAAAGTGGTATACTGGGTTGGCTAAAAAGTTTGTCCAGGGTTTTAGGTACCATCTTACAGAAAAAAGCCAAATGAATTTTTGGCCAGGCCACTACTTATGTTACATTTAGAAATGACTAACTGTAGTAGGTACAGATGCTCAGCAAGCAGGTGGGCTGGCTTCACGGACCAGAAGTCAGTTCTGGTGAGCAGTTTTAGGGACAAAACAAGTTTTAGGGACTTTGCCCCCAACACAGTTTCCAAACTGTATTAGAGGGGGTTGTGGAAAAATAAATGTCCTTCGGAAACAGTTTTCCATGACAAAATATGTGCGGGAGGAGCACTGGGTCACGGCAGGTTAGGAGGGCTCCTCTCTGCAGGACCTGTCAGAGCCTTCAGTGTGTGACGCACGAGTGAAGTCCGAGGGGCTATCAGAGAAGTCTCCCCTCAGTGGGTCATCTCACTGAGACAGTCTGCAGCTGGAAACTAACTCCGAAGATGAGTTACTAAATTACACAAGCATATCTAAAATGATAACTAGAACATACATTTCAATTTGAATAGTCATATCTCTTCCCTCAAATAAACTAATTTGTATTGCCCCCAAATACATATGAATTACATCTGTCTAGGTGTAATATCAAAATTATCCTTTGTTTCATGTTTACCAGAGTACTATCTATATAGAGAATTTCATATTCTAGGTGACACCATTTCCTGAAGGAATTAGCAAATTGATAACTTCTCAACTGTAGCCTAGAATTGCTAAGGCATAGGGCTTCCCTGGTGGTCAGACAGTAAAGAACCTGCCTGCAACCCAGGAGACCCAGATTTGATCCCTGGGTTGAGAAGATCCCCTGGAGAAAGGAATGGCAATCGACTCCAGTATTCTTGCCTGGAGAATTTCATGGGCAGAGAAACCTGGTAGGCTACAGTCCATGGAACTGCAAAGAGTTGGACATGACTGAGCGACTAACACTTTCAGTTTTCTTCAGACACAGTAAGGCAAAATTCAAAATAAACCATGAATCAACTTCTCCTGAATTCCACTTTCTAAACTGTGTAGAGATAAAGACAGACACACAGACACAGACAGAAACCTACTTGAGATACTTCATTGCCAACTTTGAGAAGATTCTCTTTTCTCATGGTAACTAAACACAAAATCAAGACTGCCAGGAGAAATATCAATAATCTCAGATATGCAGATGACACCACTCTTATGTCATAAAGAGAAGAAGAACTAAAGAGCCTCTTGATGAAAGTGAAAGGGAAGAGTGAAAAACTTGGCTTAAAGCTCAACATTCAGACTAAGATCATGGCATCTGGTCCCATCACTTCATGGCAAATAGATGGGAAAGCAATGGAAACAATGTTTATGTTTTTGGGCTCCAAAATCACTGCAGATGGTGACTGCAGCCATGAAATTTAAAGATGCTTGCTCCTTGGAAGAAAAGTTATGATTAACCTAGACAGCATATTAAAAAGCAGAGACATCACTTTGCCAACAATGGTCCGTCTAGTTAAA